CCTCGGCCTCCCAAAGTGCTGGGATTACAGACTGAGCCACCGAGCCTGGCCGATCTATAGGTTTAATGCAATTCCTATTTAAACTGCAGACAAGTTTTTGTAGACATAGGCAACCTTACACTAAAATTTATAGTGAAATGCCCATGCACTGGAATATCTAAAATAACCATGGCAAAGCAGAATAAAGTGGAAATAATCACTCTATTTGATATAGAGGCTTATTTTAGAACTATATTAATCAATACTATGTGATGCTGGAAAAGGGATGAGCACATAAATCATTGAAACAAAATAGAGAACAGAATACAGACCCAACAGAAATAGATCCAAACAAATATGCTAAACTGATTGCTAATTAAGATACCAAAGCACTTAATAAAGGATCACTTTTTCAACTAGTCTTGAAGCTACAAAAAAGCTAAACACAAATGAATTTCAGATGCAAATGTAACACACAAAACTATAAAACTTTTAGAAAAAAAATTAAGAGAAAATCTCCAGTACCTAGGACTCAACAAAGAGTTCTTAGACTTGACAACCTAATACATGATCTTACCTAAAATAAAAAAATGATCAATTGATCTTTATCAAATGAAACATTTCTTTTTCTCTGTAAAAGTCTTTGTGAAAAGGATGAAAAGACAAGTCACAGAGTGTGAGAAAATATTTACAGACCAAATATCTGACAAGGACTAGTTTATAAAATGTATAAAGAATTCTCAAAAGTCAGTAGCTAAAAATCCAAACAATCTAAATTTTTTTTTTAATGGCCAAAAGAAACAAATACACGTCACCAGAGAGTACATGCGGAAGAGATATTCAATATGATCAGTCATCAAGGCAATGTAAATTAAAATTACAATGAAATATTACTATATGCCTACCAAAATGCATATGATTTTTAAAAATAATGGCAGCTCCAAATGCTGGAAAGAATCAGAGAAATTGGATCACTTATATTTTGATTTGGAGACTGTAAAATGGCATAACCACTATGAAAAAAAATGTCAATTTCTTTTAAAGTTAAATGTGTAATTAGTTTATGTCCCAGCAATTGTACTTTTGGGACTCTGACGGAGAAATGGAAACATATTTATACAAAAACTTGAAGACACTATTCATTGCAGCTTTGTCACAGCTAATAACTAAAAGCCTCCTAGATGTTCTTAAATAAAAAAGAATGAATGCAACTATGTGGATTACATACCGAATGGTTCCCTTTATATAGCATTTTTAAAATGTCAACATTCAAGAAATATATTAATTGATCCCAGGGGTTAGAAACCAGCAGGTGAGGGATAATATATGTGGTTATAAAAGCACAACATAAAGAATCTTTGATTCCTGAAACTGTTCAGTTTCTCCACTCCATAGCTTTATACATGTGATTAATTTGTATGGCATTAAAAACACACACATGTACATATGCACACACACAGGTGTGTAGGGAAATATGATTAAGATGGGTAGATTGTTCCAATGTCAATATCCTGCTGGTAATAATAGTCTATATTGTTGTGAAATGTTACCATTGTGGGAAACCGGATTAAGTAGACAAGAATCTCTGTGTATTATTTCTTATATCTGCATGTAACTCTAAAACTGACTCAATAAAAATTTTAATTAGAAGAATGGACTGGCCCAATTCTGTATGATAGCACACCTCACTAAGGCTTAAAGCATAATATATTCAAAATTGATAGTGACTTTGATTGTAAAACATTAATAATAACTGACCTAAAATATTTTATAATGTGATAATATATTTTAAATATAAATTCCTCAGTAATCAAGGTCAATGACAGTAACTTGAAACTTCCTTCATAAGATCTTCACATAATAAGATTTATTTTAATTTATAAACCACTCTCAGCATTTCATTTCTAAACAGAATAATCTTGCTTTCTTTAATACTGCCTCATACATGTAATTATTTCATCTATTTCTATGAGATTCTCTCATTCTACAAGTTTTCTCCTCTTGTCTAACTCTGAATATATTGTGAGGAATATTAGTTGCTTCTACTTTCATAAATTTATATAGCTTCATTTCAGTTCCCAAAGGAGTGTTAATAATGTAGACATGTCTTGGGCTCCTTAACATATTCTATGCTGAAATCACTTTAAAGGTGAAAAGGTTAAACATACAAATTTGGGGTGGGAGAAAGTAGGCCTTGATTGTTTCTTTGGGAAAATATTACCCAAGTATCTGTTCATTTCATCTAAAAAAAATCAAGTCCTTAGCCGAATTTGTTCAACTGTCTCTAACAAATATTCCCTGAAAGTGCATGATTGAATTTGCAAGGATGCAAAGAACACTTTGGATAAAATGTAAATGAGTATAAAAAAGAATTTGTTTGTTTATTTGAAATGCTAACAACTTACTACAGAATGGATATGTTCTACCAGTATCCAAAAACACAGTGGTCCTAAGCAGTCTTCCTTTAATTCTTTCTTTTAAAGCATCTTTCAGCAGCTCAGCTTGATAACCTGAGATATGAGAAGTAGAACACTGAAAATTGAACCTCCGTCAATTAGCATACAAAAACATTTCAAATCACTAAAGTAACAAAATAATCAACGGATATAAACATGATCGTTGACTTGGGTAACTTAAAAAGCATTTTTCAAATGATGCAGCATTTTATTTAACTATAATAACAACTTTTACATTCAGAATTCACAAAACTGTTCCCTGAAAATCATGTCAGAGTTTGCCTTACTCCGCATGACTATAATCCATTTATGGCAACTTTTACTATTATATTTTAAATTCAGAATCTTACTTGTACATCTTTTTAATAAATTCAGCAGAGTAAATTGATTATATAAAACTAAACCATACAATTTTGCTCTATAATTACAGACCCTCAATTCTCCTATGCATACATACATAGCATGCATATGAATACATTATATATAATATATGTAGTATAGTGATAATACTCTATATATTGTGTATGTAATATATATTTCAGATACATATATGTACATATATGACATGCATTATATGTAACATATTTATAAAAGTTATATATGTATAACGTATGTTTATAAATGTATAATGTATTACATATTATTCATGTATTTTTCTGTTCCCAGAATGCTACCTTTGAATTTGAGATTTGAATATAGTTGAAAGATTATTGATTTGAGAATTTAGAGGTTTAATTTTACTTCTGACATTTACCCTTAAACAATTCATATATTCATTCTTGGTCACAATTTTCTCATTATGGAAGAATAGAAATAGAAAAGCAATAAACAACATGAGGTCTGAAGAAAACTAATCATATATTCATATATTCATTCTTGGTCACAATTTTCTTATTATGGAAGAAGAATAAGAACAGAAAAGCAATAAACAACATGAGGTCTGAAGAAAACTCATCTCACCTGATATAGACAGATGAGATGTATGCAAAAAATTTGACAAAGTTTGCATAATGTGTGCCCCTCACAGATTCTCCATGTGTGTTAGTTTTCTAAAGAAAATTGATTGCATATGACTTAATTCAGCCTTTATAATTGTTACCCATTTCTTGAGCCCCTTTGTCTTCAGAAACATTTCTAGAAATCCTATCATGATGCTAAGCAGATATTTACATGCTCATGGCATACTTGAGTCTGCTATTCTCTTTGAAAAACCCCAAGCAAACCGTCTTTCTGGTTCCAATATTCCTTTTTTTAAATGTGGATTCTTTATTCTCTATAATTCCATGTTGGCCTGCTTTAGTTATCAGAAGCAGCAATACTTAACTGTTCTTACAAAGCTTTATTGATTTAGAAGTTATGAGTTGTATACGATTCATGTTTACTTGCTGATAGCAAATGGACGCTGTCAGCTATGGTTCACATGTCTTCAGTTACTTGTAAGACTTCCCATTTAAAAACGAAACTACCACAGTGCTATCAAGAATGTATAAGCTTCTTTCTTTAAGTGGAAATATAGTTGAATGACAGATTAGTTGGATCCTTTTATACATCAAGAACAAATATAATCATGAAGCCACCTAATTTCCCTATTACACTGAGCATAAAAAGGCAGTTGAGCAATTTTTTCTCATTAAACATCTTCAAAATATTTAATAGGAAATAAAATATTTACCTTGGTTATACCACATCTTCACAAATAGTTCTTCCACTAATACTGACATATTAACAAGTGTATATATGGCATAGTTTAGCTTCCAGCAGAAATACTAACATAATTGTTATTCAAGTTCAAAAAGAATTATAGTAACTATAAGAATCTCTCTTACCTAGCCAAGGGCATAATTTGTTCTTAAAATTGTCACAGTCCACACATAAGCTAGTCTTGTAATCTTTGTATGAATGACAAGGAAATGAAATAAAATTGCAGTTTGTTTCCATAGATGCCATGAACAAGTGAACTGCTCTCTGGTGGTCACATTTAATAAATTCAATCCCTTAAATGTTAAAAGAAAAGAAAAAGGAAACAAACAAAAGAGATGTGGGTGTATTAAGTAAGTAAATTGGAGAAATACTAAAGATTAAATTTTACTAAATACTGTACACTTTATGAATATTAAAATGATGACTGTAATATACGGTTTTATTTTAAGTCACTAAAAATAGTGGCAATAAAATTTGAAATTGGGACAAGATGGCAACAGAACAGGTCAGAATGTGAGAGTCTCTGCAAAAGTGAGTGTCCAAAAAGACTCTGTGTGTGTGGGTGTGTACTGGTGGGTGCGTGAAAGTCTGTCTGAGGGAAGACTCAGGTTCATGCACCCAGGGCTCTCTTCCAAAGGTGACTGCATGCAACATCACCCTTAGGTTGGATCCCGTGGTGCACAGGATTGTCTGCCATTCTTGGGGCTCTCTTGGGAGGAGGCAGCAGAGAACAGCTACTCCTTATCACCTGGCATCCAGTCCATGCCATCACCTGCAGCAGCACATTAGGCATGAGCAGGAGCAACTGTGGAGAAGGCAGTCATGGAAATCCGGAAATCTGGAAAGAATCCTAAACACTAGTGATGAGACAACAACAGGCACCCTCTTCTCAGTCCTGGGACTGGGAAGAGACCTGCATTCCCCTGCTCTGCCCAGCCTCCATCTTGGTACCCAGAGGCTATCCTCTCACTAGACTCAGAGAGACAGATGCCCCTCCACCACGCTGGAATAGGCACAGACACATCAGATCTGAGTGGGAGACTTGACAGCAGCAGCAACAAGTTGGGTGAGTCCAGATCAAATACATCCTCCTCCCACAGTAGTCCATGGGGCATTTGACCTATACTGAGAGCAACTCTATCAGACTATGCTGAGAGCAGAGGGGAGGGGCTGGGGACTGGAGCCATTCTTAAGGTGGTGGCAGACAAGAAGAACCTAGAGTTTCAAAAAAGGTCACAGAGCGAGTTTTTTTTCTTGTTTGTTTTAGTTCTTTTTGTTCGCTTTCTTTCTACTTTTGTTTAGGTTTCTGTTATTTTAGTGTTTTGTTTTAGATTTTTTGTTTGTGTATGGGTATTCCTGAGGGAGAGTGCACCAACGGGGGTTTTTATTTCTTTGTTTGTATGACTGTCTGGTTTTTTTTGTTTTGTCTTGCTTTGTTTTCTGTCTTTGTGTGTTTCTCTGTTTATTCATTAGTTGAGTGCACCTATCTCTGTTTTCCTTCGTCTTCTCTCTCTCCACCGTTGTATCATCTTCCTCCTTCCTTTTTCCATTATTTTCCTTTTTCTTAACTCATTTTGCTTTAAGGGCACAAAAAGACACCCCCACTGCATGGACACATTGTAAGGTGGTAGGAAGTGGGTCTCAGGGGACCCACATACCTGTCAGCAAATAGTGGGATCTGCAGATGGTTTCTGAATTAAGATCCCTCCTTAATTAAATCTCAAAATTGCAAAAAGCACAGGCACCCAAACCCAGTTCAGTTTCAGAATCAAACAAAGTTAGAGGATCAGCATAAGAAAGAATAGGAGATTGAGCAAACAGAAATAAAAGCTATCCCTGCTATTACTGAACAATAGAATTAAAGAAGAGGTTAAAAAAAAAAAAAGGAGAGGAACCCCTACACAAATGAAGAAAAAACAAAGGAAAAATTTGAATCTCACACAGACTCCTGGGAGGTCAGCCATTGAGAACACAGACGTTGGAACTCAAACAATGAAGAACTCCCAGCATGACTGGTCTCAAACCACAAACCCAGATATCGAGATATTAATAGAGAGAATAAATATAAATGAGGAGAGACAAGAAGAAAGAATGAAGGAGTTGATAACTGATATAACAGCTATAAAGAATACAGTGAATGAAATAAATAATAAAGCTGATAAGCATGGAAAGTAGAATTAACCAAGCCAAAGAAAGAATCACAGAGTTTGAGAATCAAAATATGGAACTAACTCAAAGTGATAAAAAAAAACACACTAAAAAAGATGCTTAAAAAGACAGAACAAAACCTCCAAGAGCTGAGCGATTATTTCAAAAGGCCAAATTTAAGATTAATTGGAATTTCTGAGGCAGATAGAGAGATAGAGACCACCCTGGAACAAACATTCCATGAAATTATCCAAGAAAACTTCCCTCAACTCATCAGTGATGTGATCATTCAAATACAAGAGATTCAGAGAATCCCTGCAAGACAACAAATGAGAAGACCAACTCCTAGACACATAGTAATTCATCTACATAAAGTATTAAAGAAAAAGTTCTAGAGAGAGCAAGAGAGAAAGGTTAGACTACCTACCATGGAAGACCAATTAGAATAGCAGCAAACTTATCTACAGAAACTCTTCAGGCAAGGAAAACTTGGAACCCAATATTCAAAGTTCTCAAAGATAAACAATTTCAACCAAGAATTACCTACCCAGTCAAGAAAAGTTTCATAAGTGATGGAGAATTAAAATGTTTCTCAGACATTCAATCCCTAAGAATTTATGCTGCCTCCAGACAGCTCTACAAAATCACTTAAGAAAGTACTAAACACAGAAGAAGAAGAAGAAAAAAATGACAATGCACTTCCCAAGAATGCAGGAAATAGATTTAAAACACACATGAATCAACCCAAAAATCAAAAGAAAGAAAACAAACAAGTAAACAAACAACAGCAGCAGCAACAACAAACTCTATAAGAACCTCATGACAGAGATAAACTCTCACATCTCAATAATTAGCCTGAATGTGAATAGACTAAATGCATCACTGAAAAGACATAGAATGGAAAATTTGATAAAATATCATGATGTAACAACATATTGTCTCCAAGAGACTCATTCACTAGAAAGGACACTCACAGACTCAAAGTAAGAGGATGAAATTCAAAATTTCAGGCTAAAAGAACACAAAAGAAAGTAGGAGCTACAATATTAATATCAGGCAAAATACCCTTTAATCTATTAAAAATTTTAAAAGATACAGAAAGTTGCTACATAATGATAAAAGGTTCAATCTATCAACAAAAAATATCCATCCTAAACATATATGCACCCATCATAGGAGCACCAGCTTTCATAAAGCAGCTTCTAGTAAAATAAAAATTAAAAAAATTGACTCTAACAATATCATAGCTCGGTATTTAAACAGCCCACTAACAACCCCAGACAGATCATCAAGACAAAAAGTCAACAAGAAGATCTGGAACCTTAATGTGATGCTTGATCAAATGGACTTAACTGATACCTACAGAACACTCCACCCAACAACCATGGAATAAACATTCTACTCATCACCATAAGGACAGTACTCTAAGACTGACTACATCTTCAGTCATAAATCAAGCCTAAACACATTTTGTAAGATTAAAATTCTACCATGTACCTTCTCAGATCATAATAAAATAAAAACAAATAACACCAACAAAGTTCCCCCCAAAACCAAAAAGACATGGACATTAAACAGTATGATAAACAATTACTGGACCAACATGGAAATCAAAACAATGATTAAAGGATACCTGGAAACAAATGAAAATGAAGAAACATCTTACTAAAATTTCTGGGATGCTGTGAAATCAGTCCTTAGAATGGAATTCATATCTCTATGAACTCACAAGAAGAAAATGGAAAGATCAAAGGTAACAACCTAACAAGTCACCTAGAGAAGCTGGAAAAGTAAGACCACTAAAACCCTAACTTCAGCAGAAGAATCCAGATCACCAATATAAATGCCTAAATTCAGGACGTAGAAGACAAAAATATAATACAAAAAATCAATAAAACCAAAAGCTGGTTCTTTGAAAAGATATACAAGATTGACGGACATCTAGGTAGATTGACCAAGAAAAAGGGAGAAAAAGCCTTAATAAACACAATCAGAAATGCAAAAGTTAAAGTGACAACTGACCCTGAAGAAATAAAAAAGATTATCAGAGATTATTATGTAAACCTGTATGGAAAAAAACTTGAAGACCTAAATGAAATGAAGGACTTAAATCACACAATCTCCCCACATTGAAATAAGAAGAAATCGAGACCCTCAACAGACCAATAACAATCCAGGAAAACAAGTGTGTCATAAAAGTACCTAAAAAAAAAAAAAAGCCCTGGACCATATGGATTTACAGCAAAATTTTACAAAACATACAAGGAGAATCTGATACGAAACCTATTGAAAGTATTCCAGGGAGTCAAGAAAAATGGAATTCTACTCAAATCATTTTATGAAACTAACATTACACTGATACCCAAACAAGGTAAAGATCTAACAAAGAAAGAGAACTATGGACCAATATCCTTGATGAACACAGATGCTAAAGTTCTCAACAAGATTCTGGCAAACTGGATCCAACAACACATCTCAAAAATCATCCATGATGACCAAGTAGGCTTTATCCCCAGGATGCAGGGGTGGTTCAACATCCACAAGACCATAAACGTAATTAAATACATCAATAGATGTAAAGACAAAAATCACAAGATTATATCATAAGATACAGAAAAGGTTTTCCATAAAATCCAGCACCACTTCTTGACAAAAACCCTTGAATATCTAGACATAGATGGACTATACCTCAAAATAGTAAGAGCCATCTATAAGAAACTCACAGCCAATATACTGCTAAACAGACAGAAATTGGAACCATTTCTCCTGAAAACCAAAACAAGCCAAGGATAACCACTCTCATTCCTCCTGGTCAACATAGTGTTGGAAGTCCTAGCTACAGCAATCAGAGAAGAGAAGGAGATCAGTGGTATCCAAATAGGAAAAGAGGAAGTCAAGTTATTCCTCTTTGCAGACAACATGATTCTATATCTCGAAAACCCAAAAGAATCTGTCAAAATCCTTGCAAGGACTTTGGCAAGTCTCAGCGTATAAAATAAATGTGCAAAAGACAATTACATTCTTATATACCAATAATAAACAAATAGAAACCCAGATAAAAAGCACAATTCCATTCACAATAGCCACAAAAAAAATGAAATACCTTGGCATCTTCCTAACCAGAGAAGTCAAAGACCTTTACAATGAAAATTATAAAACATAGCTCAAAGTAATCAAAGATGACACAAACAAATGGAAAAATATCCTATGCTCCTTGATTGGAAGAGTTAACATTGTTAAGATGTCCATCCTACCCAAGGCAATCTACAGATTTAATGCAATACCCATTAAATTACCAGCAGCATTCTTCTCAGACCTGGAAAAGACAATTCTGGAATAAATATGGAAATATAATTGACCATGAATAGCCAAAACAATCCTCAGTTTAAAAAAAAAGGGGCAGGAGGTATCACACTCCCAGATATTAAGCTTTATTATAAAGCTACAATAATCAAATGAACAGGCATATAGACCAATGGAACAGGATAGAGATCCCAGAAGCAAAACCTTAATTTCTCAACCAACTCATCTTTGACAGTCTTCACCACTAACCACCGGGGAAAGGAGAACCTATTCAGTAAATTGTACTGGGAAAACTGGCTGAATATACGGAGATTAAAACAAGACCTCTACCTATCACCACACACAAAAATCAATTCTAAATGGATCAAAGACCTAAACATAATACCTCAAACTATAAAAAGCTTAGAAACCGCTGAAGACACCCTTATGGAAATTGGGACTGGCAACCAATTCCTGATCAAAACCCCAAGTGCGCATGCCCTAAGCGATAAGATAGACAAGTGGGACCTCATCAAACTGACAAGCTTCTGCAAAACCAAAGAAACCATTGAGAGAGCGAGAAGATAGCCCACAGACTGGGAAGATATTTGCCAACTGTATATCTGACAAAGTCCTAAAATCTAGGATCTACAAGGAATTCAAACTTGTCAAAAAGAAAAAAACAAACAGTCCCATTACAAAGTGGGCAAAAGATATGAATAGACATATCTCAAAAGAAGGCATTCGAGCAGCCAACAGATACATGAAAAAATGCTCAGCCTTACTAGTCATCAAAGAAATGCAATTTAAAACCACACTGAGATACCACCTAACTCCAGTTCAGGATGGCCATCATCAACAACTCAAAAAACAACAGATGCTGGAGAGGAAGTGGTGAAAAAAAGGACATTTCTACCCTGTTGGTGGGAGTGTAAACTAGTACAACCTCTGTGGAAAACAGTTTGTTGATTCCTAAAAGGTCTAAAAATTGACCTCCCATATGACCCACAATCCCTCTGCTGGGAATATACATGGAGGAACTCAAGTCACTCTATAATAAAGATACCTGCACATGCATGTTTACTGCAGCATTATTCACAAATAGCAAAAACATGGAACCAACCATGCTGCCCATTGAAAGAGGACTGGATTAAAAAAATGTGGTACATATACATGATGGAATATTACGCAGTCATAAAGAAGGGCAAAATTATTAACTTAGCAGCATCTTGGATGGAGTCCATTATACTCAATGATCTATCACAGAAACAAAAAAAAAACAAATATCACATGTTCTCACTCATAAGCAGACCTTGAACAACTGTCATAATACTATAAGAAAGGGATTGGCAGTAGTGAGAAACTACTAGGGGAGTGAGGGCACACCTCATCAATAAGGGTACCCTTACAATGAACATTTGTATACCTAATCCTGAATTGTACCCCACATAGTTAAAATTAAAAACTAAAAACTAAAAATAAAAATTGAAATTCAGCATGCCTTTTGCATAAGATTTAAAATAAATTTTAAAGTAATAACAGCAAAGATGTTATATTTCAAAATTCACAAGCTTTAAGAAAACAATGCTACTATAATTAATAACTAGTGTACACGTCTCGTTCTAATCTCTCAGTTGTAACATTTCCATCCAATGTCAGAGATGACTACAAAACCAGGTGCCATTAAAACTTTGTTACCTCCCTTTCCTTTTATAATCTGTCACATCCTCATTCCTTGGACCAAACTTCTCTTGTTTCAGTTGCCTTTGACTGAGTATTTCTTGACCAATTATTCCTGTGGACCTAAAAACATTTCTTAAATGTTTTCTTAAAAAAACATTATATTTCTTAAAAACATAGCTGTGAAATGAGACACATATTACACACCTGGAGCAATTGCTCAGCTCTCTCTATGTACAGGACAGCTAAGTGTCAAGACTTTAAAAATTTCTGTTTGTGTAGTAATATTCTCATGGTAAAGGTTAAATCCTGAGATCAAATTTGTATTATATTATACTTTAATTACTCGTGCTTCCTCAAAGACTTGTAACTTCTCCTAATGTTTAAAATAATGAATGAAAACTGTCAAAACTGTAGCATCATAGGTCTAAACTATGACAAAATGGGGTGTCTACTGGTAATCTTGATGAACTAGGCAGAATCAAATAAAACCATTTTTGATCAATAACTTTCCTAAGTCATGAGCAATAGTGATGAAGTAAAACTATTGCCCACAGAGTAGGAGAGGAAAATTATTTTCTTTCATCATTTTGAATAACATATAATTCATTAAATACTAACAATATACCTGAAAAAACTGATTTAGGACAACCAGGTTGTTTTCTTCCTCCATTTGGATAAAAATCTATATGTCCCAAAGGCTCTTTAATGCCTAAACCTGAGGGAAAAAAAATTCAAGAATCACAACATGTACATAAATAGGTCAGGAAAAAAAATTCAAGAATCACAACATGTACGTAAATAGGTCAGCAACTTGTATAAAATAAAATCATCTATAAAACTCCTTGAAAGTGACTCTAAAATTTGAATTGAAAATAAAGTAAATGCTTTTTTAAAAAAAATAGTTTTTTTTCTAGTACTAATTCTTCACGAAAACTAAATTTCATTAGTGTAACATGTTTACCATTCCCCAGTGTACCATGGGCCAAAGTTTTCTGTTACAAATGCATAAGTTAAAAAATAGAGCAAAAATCATTTTTGTAGTGGAAAATGCTTTCTAGTGAAAAGAAGACATAATGAGTAAAAATACAGTGTGCCAGATAATAATAATGCTATGAAGAAAAATCAAATAGAATAAGAAGACAGAAAGTGCCTAGAGAGGATAGTAGTTGCATTCTTAGAGTCTGGTCAAGAATTTCCCACAGAAGAGGTTAAAGTTGAGCAGTGATCAAGTGGATGACTGCATGAGCATGTTTTGGGTATTCCAAGAAGCCAGAATGGATGAATATAATAAGTAAGAGGGGGCACTGGAGGACTTGAAACCAAGTCACAAAGAACCTTTTAGATCAGTGTAATGACTTGCTCTCACTTTAGATGACAATGCTTACGACTTCCTGCTGCTAGATTCACTAACTCAGAAAATCTAAAGGACATGTTGCCTCTGCTGAAACAACTTGGGCCAGAGTGACATGAAAATACAGCTATGATTTAAGGGTTTCTGTAGACCTGTAGATCCTTGGGGCACTGACGAAGGTACAAATTAGGAGTCCATAACCAAGATGAAGGTTTATAACCCAGAGGAGTGAAAACTGGTAGCAAGCTCAGGTTACTCAGGACTGCATTTCATATAAAATCTTGCTGCCAAATAAAATTGTAATGCTATATGATGGAATATTATGCAGCCATAAAGAAGGACAAACATATGGACTTCACAGCAACTTGGCTGGATTTAAAGTCTATCATACTCAGTAATTGATCACAGAAACAAAGAACTGAATACCACATGTTGTCACTCATAAGCAGACCCTGAACATTTACCATAATACTATAAGAAAGGCATTGGCAGTAGTAGGATACTGAGGGTGTGGGGACACATAACATCAATAAGGGTACCCGATCTCAAACCAGCCAAAGTGAGGAACAAAGGGACCAAACTTTCCCTGCATGATGACCACTTGTATACCTAATCCTAATTGCAACCCACATCTTTAAAATTAAAAACAAAAAACAAAACAAGGCAGCCCCCTTGGGTCCCCTCCCACTGTGGGAGCTTTTCTATTCTCTCAATAAATCCTACTTTCTAAAAAAAAACAAAAAAACATTGCAATGTTTTGCTTGGGGCACAACACATTTCCTGCAACATAGTGAATTCATGAGAAAAATCAGCAATAGATTTAGCATAGCAAAGATAAATATTTGGGTCTGACAGTAAGGGTTTAAATGCAGCAACTTGATTTAGTTCTATCATGTAACAGAAATGTATGTAACTCTAGAGAAGAGTTAGAGAAAAAATGAACACTGGACACATGCAATACAATGGCAGGGGAGGTGTTTTGCATATAAAGAAACACAAGGGACAACTTAGATGACTTCATGAAAACTTCCCAGAATCCAAAAGGCCATATGTGCGATTTGGTTGTGACAGTGATTGAGGGTCTGCTAGCCAGCCCCTGCTTACATTCCATCATCCACTTAGCTTGTGGAATTTAAGAAATGGAAGGATGATATTATAAATATGACACATACAAAAGAAGAGAAGAAATCCAACAATTTTGAAAATCTGCAAAATTTCCTCATATCTAAACTGAACTGAGTCCCAAGGTTAGAGGTTTCCGATTTGGAGCTGTGCCATTCGCTGCTGAAGTAGACTCAAGCCAATAGAACTACTCCTTAGGAGTTAGGGAGAAGCAAAAGATATTTAACTTACAAAGAGCCTTTGATTCAGTATGTAATTTCTCTTTTATTAGATGTAGAGAGAAGGGCGGATTGGTCTCTGTAGGTCATTCATTCCCTTGGTTTCAAGAAGGGTGGGGACAGCAGATATGAGTTTTTAATTTTCTTAAATTTACTATTATTTTTAACAGAGACATGGTATCACTGTATTATCCAAACAGGTCTCAAACTTTTGGGCTTAAGAGATACTCCCACCTCGGCTTCCCAAATTCCTGGGATTACAGGCATGAGTCATTGCTTTTGACCTTATATTTTTAATTGTAAAATTTGATACACATTCAGAAAGGAATACAGTGATATAGAGTAATTAATTATTATAAAGCAAATAGCCATGTAGCTATCACACCCACGTCAAGAATTAGCACTCAGAAGCTCCCAATATGCTCTTACTCAACTATAAGCTTATTTCTCCTAAAAATAACAGCCATCCTTTCTTTTAATGAAATCACTCTTTGTTAATCTTTAACTTCTAAGAATGTCTCCCAAAACTCTATAGTTTAGATCTGCCCATTTTATTTATTTTTATTTATTTATTTATTTATTGTGTTGGAGTCTCACTCTGTCACCCAGACTGGAGTGCAGTGGCCGCTCCTGACCACCGCAGCCTCGACCTGGTGGGCTCTGGTGATCCTCCC